CCAAGGAGCGGCACCGGCAATATCTCGGGAAGTTGGGAGGTGTGGTGTGATGGACCCTGATATAATGGAAGGCATAGCCTGCTGTGAGGTCTGGGTGCTTGCTCAACGATGATTAGAAATAGCCTCTGATGCAGTGAATGTGGTGAGAGATATCAACTTTGGGAGTTATGCCAGTACATCAAAGAGGAGTTTCTGGAGACGACATATATTTGTGTGCATGAAGGACGTACATCAAACAACGAAACTCATCAGCTAGATCCTTTGTTTATTTATTAGATTGGTAGGCATATTTGGCTGCTAGTCTAATAATTCTATGATTGTACCTTAGGGTTATTGCTATATACAAGAGCCGGCCATTTTCACTTAAAAAGGTAGATCATTTGGAATCCAGGATGACATTTTCAGTTCTTTGGTCGATTTTGCAGACCATATGTAAGCTAGGACATGTAGATTCACAAAAGATATTGTCATACAAGTGTCCAGTGAAGAAAAGAGTGGTGACTTTTAGTGCAAATCAAAATGATCTATATGATATGATTAAGACCCTAAATATTCTCTAGATTTTGTTTAAATTTCGCAGAACAATAAACTGCATCAATGCAATGGGTCACCGCTACTCTGAATTTTACCAAGTGTTACTATAAGGAGTGATTTAGATCTTGACATGCGGTTTGACTATGTTCATAAGAAGACCATGCTATTACAGGAATCCGTAGCTCCTGGGTTTTCCAATATCTTATTCTTTTTAATTATCTTAATCATCATGCTGGTGTTGCGTGTTACAATACAAGCATATACAAAACCCGCTGCATGTAAATGAAATTTATCATATAAATGATTATAATTATTAACATGTTCAACAGAATAAAATTTCGCAGCAACGCGCGGGGTATCATCTAGTATCTATTAAATCTGCACAAATTATTACCAGCATATCCTTTGAAAACAGTTGTGTAACTCCAGCAAGTCTGTCCTGGGCAGCTCGGATATATGCATCCACGGAGCTGAGTGCGGTAAACTCCTGCTCGATGAACACTGGAGCCCGCATGGCCTCTTTCAGTCGACGATGGTTCATCACGCTCTCCACCTCGGAATTCGAGACGGATACGCCATCCAAATCCTCATGTGGGGGCGGATCTGGCACTATGTCGGCTCTCGTTATGGTTGACGAGTCCGGTGCCGGATTGACTGATATTCGACTAGCAGGGCGTTTTCCCACGGTTTGCCGCGTGCTCCTCCTGAAATAAAGGTAGAGGAAAAATTTAACAATCCGATTTCATGCTTAGGCACACATCAGAGGACATACCTCTTTGAAGAAGGAGGGAGCTCAACAGCGCTCCCGATTTCCTTTCGTTTTGAAAGACGACCCTATGTAGAGGCCGTTCTCGAGGGAGTGCGGCCTGTCGAGTGCCGATCCTATGAAGTACAGTTTAAGTACAATTAACAAGGTGCAAGTAGGGGTTTCTTTTTGAGGAAGCCTTTTTACTTACAATGGAGAAAGGGTAAGGGCGGGGGTAGTCGGCCGTGATAGCCACCTCCGAGCCATCAAGGCTCGCTTGATAAAATACTCTGTCATCAAACTCTAAGTATATATCCTGATCCTCACGGAAGCCGGGGTCTTCATTGCGAGCATGGTCTTCTGGCTGCAGGGAGGAACAATGAATGTTCTCAACCTCCTTCCTCCATGACTGTTTTAAGACAACAAGAACAATTTAATTAGGCGTACCTTGATAACGAGGTGGAACAGTGCTGATAATCAGAAAAACTTACCCATTCAATGGGGTTGTACATGGAAAAGCCTTCTCGGCAGTTTAAGCGAAGGAAGTCTTCTTTCTCCCCCTTGTACAGATCGGCCAGAATTATGGCCAGTTTGGCTGGAGTATCTAGGCCCTTGCGTCTGTAGCGAGGTGCGTCGTCTTCTCTATTATAACACCATAAAGGAGTTACTCTAGACTGAAGGGGCTGAATGCATCGTTTTATTTTGATAGCCATAACTTCGACTATCGAGAGCTCGTAATGAGCCAGTAATCTAACCTTACTGACCAACCTCTTTACTTTCGCACTATCTTCCTCCTTGGGACTCCGGGGGCACCAATTGAGGCATTTCTTTAAAGAAGCACTAGAGAATTCGGGAAGGCCACGCCGAACTGGGTCCAGAAGGGGAACGTCCTCAATATAAAACCATTCCGAAGACCACTCCTAGGATACCTCCTTGGGAGTTCCAATAGGGTAGCCTGATCCGGCTATGCGCCATACTTCGGCGCCGCCCACTTCAAATATGGAACCCCCTTGACGGCGAGGGACGAGGCAGAAGAACTTCCTCCATAGTTCGAAATGTTCCTCGCAGCCCAGAAACAGTTCGCAGAAGGCTACAAAGCCCGAGATGTGTAGAATCGAACCTGGGGTGAGGTTGTGCAATTGGATTCCGTAGAACTCCAATAGGCCTCTGAGAAAGGGATGGATTGGGAATCCTAAGCCCCGCAAGAGAAATGAAACGAAGCATACCCTCTCCTCCTTGTTGGGGTTAGGGAAATTTTTTGCTAACACATCATTGCCGATCGAGGCTAATCCAGCTCGCACAGGGACTATATCTGCGAGAGGGAGATATCCCTGTGTCTGAAGACGACTCAGCTGAAGATGGGACACGGAGCAGCTCCACCAATCACCCTCTTGAGGGCCATGAGGGCGCGAAGAAGAACTAGGAGTGTTGGCCATGTTTTGAAGTTTTTCCGTGGCTAGTCCTGATGCTCTCTGCACGATGTGGATGGCACTTGGGGATCTAACCTCTTTATATAGATGCCGTCCCTGTGTGGTCCAGGGCTTTTTGGTAAAAAATTATTATGTACCATTCGCATTCGCCCGGCACGTGGAAATCGAGGCAACGACAGGGAAGGAGTCATAAAGGCGAAACACGAAAGTCATGGCCGGACTGTTAGCCGTCCAAGGTATGATGAAGAACTAGCCTTGCAAAAGCCGAAGACGTAAGCCGGAGACTACATCGTCGTTTGAAGGCCAGTTCGGGGGCTACTGAGAGAGTCCTGGATTAGGGGGTCCTCGGGTGTCCGGGCTATTTGATATGGGCCGGACTGATGGGCCGAGAAGATACAAGCAGAAGACTTTCCCCCGTGTCCGGGTAGGACTCCTATATGCGTGGAAGGCAAGTTTGGTGTCCGGATATGTTATTTTCTTCCCTCAGAAACCGACTCTGTACAACCCTAAACCCCTCCGGTGTGTATATAAACCGGAGTGTTTAGTCCATAGAGGTCATCAGAATTCTCATAGGCTAGACAGTTAGGGTTTAGCCATTACGATCTCGAGGTAGATCAAGTCTTGTAACCCCTATACTCATCGAATACAATCGAGCAGGACGTAGGGTTTTACCTCCATTAAGAGGGCCCGAACCTGGGTAAACATTGTGTCCCACTTGTCCCTTGTTACCATCAATCCCCAGACGCACAATTCGGGACCCCCTACATGAGATCTGCCGGTTTTGACACCAACAACCACCTTCTGCGGGGTGGCCCGGTCGAGAGCATCGCACACTTTCCACTTCTCGATCTTGGCTTGGGCGAAATGAGAGGCAAGCGCCTCCTTCTCCTTTGCAAGAGCACAGATGATGGACGTCGTGCAGCCGTGCACCTCCCATATGCACGTGTGGAGTCAAAGAGCACGACCGCCTCCTCATGCTTCCTTGGCGGCAGCGGCATGACGGACACCCGATGAGATCGACATCATGACGATTGCGGGTCACAGTGGGTGTAGAAAGATACATGCATCGAGGGTAGGTGTCAACCATACCGTTTTAAATGAGAGGTGAGGGGTGATATGCCTCAAACGTATCATAATTGCGTAGTTTTGACATTAATTTCTATTATTTTGAACTAACCTATTAACTCGTGACAAGTGTCATTTAATGTTTTCTACTAGTTTTGGACTTTTCAGGGAAATCAATTTTACGAGGACAAAAAAAATCAATAAAAAAAGTGTCGCGAAGTTTCAAGAGAGGACGGGGCCAGAGGCAACTGAGCCCACCAGAGGGCCCCCACATACCCCACGTGGGATGTTGGCACGTCTAGGGGCACGTACCTCTCGGCACTGCCTCTCGACGGCTCTGCCTTTATATACTCCTCAAAATCATTGTCATAGTTATTGAAGATATTTTCGTTGTTGGTTCCTCTTTGTTTCTTGAAGAACCAATCTGAAGGCTTGTCTAGTACCCTGATAGAGGAGTTTATCACGGAAAATGCCTACATCAATTTTGCTACCAAACCTAAAAAAGATTGTGGAGCATGGCAATTTGCCCGGTGTTAATCATGGCCTTGACGGGATAGTGACAACTCGTGTTGTATTGTTTGGGCTGCCCAGATTTACCATCAACAGACACTGGCGACGAAAGCATGGGATTGTCAGATCGCCTCCAAATTGTGATTTCGATGGTGGCGTCTTCTACCGCCCCACGATCAATGGCTTCCTCGGTGGCTTTTTGGTTGGTGTGTGTATGACTTTCAACCCATGTCAGGGTCATACACACTTGCATCTTTTTCGGTGGCTGCAACTCCTCAATGAGGATTAATGTTACTCTTTTTTTTTTCCTTTTCATCTATCGGCATAGCGTTGGTCTTCTTTGATGCTTCAGTGTTGGAAATAACCAAACGTGCGTGGTGCCATGTCCGGGTCGTACATGGAGCTTGCAGGATTAGAACTCGTAACCGTGTAGGTCCTGACTACTACATATACGTAGCCCTTGTAATCTGCCCCGAGCCCCCGTTGAGCGTGTACGTACGTGTGTTTACCAGCCGACGGAATCGATCGACCGCTGTACGTGCGTTCCGTGTGCTAACTGGCTAGGGCTGGATTGATTAGTAAGATTGATCAAGCCAGGAAGATTAGCTCTGGTTGCACGTTCGTGGTGGTTGTCGTTGCCACTGATCGTCACCGTTGTGAAAAGTACTCGGCGTCGGCCGACAGAGCTAACACGGTGATCCAACAACTCTCACACCATGGCCGCCAGCCCGTCTGCCTCCCCGGCTCCCACCGGCGCGCGCGTCCGGGACACCATGTCCAGGCACTCAACGGTGCTCGTCAGGGGCACGCACCAGTTCAGCATCGTCGGCTTCAGTCTACACCAGAGGGCCGGCGTCGGAAACTTCATCCGATCCGATGCCTTTGAGGTCGGAGGTCACAGCTGGGCAATCAGATGCTACCCCGCCGGCAATAGAGAGGAAGAAGAAGGGTACCTATCACTGTACCTGGAGGTGTTGAGCACCCCTACTTTAGAGAAGACCACGGTGAAGTACAGCTTCGAGATCAATGGCCCTGCCGGAACTTCGCCGCTTCTTGCCCAGCCGTGCGCATGGGACGACTTCACCACCGATAACATATCATGGGGGTACAAAAAGTATGTCAAGGTAGATTCTCTTGATTCGCGGTACTTGAGGAACGACTGCCTCGTAGTGCGTTGCACCGTCGAGGTTCAGGAGTCGAAGACCGGAGCGACCACGTCCAGCTCCATCACGGTGCCGCCCTCCGGTATCCGCCAGGACCTCGCGCGGCTCCTGGACAGCAAGCGGGGGGCGGACGTGACCTTTCAGGTCGGCGGGAACGACTACGCCGCGCACAAGGCGGTGGTCGCGATGCGGTCGCCGGTCTTCTGCGCTCAGTTCTTCGGGGCACTGGCGGACAAGCCCGGCAGCCGCCACGTGAGGATCCACGACATGAAACCCGCGGCCTTCGAGGCCGTGCTCCACTTCATCTATACGGACGCCTTGCCCCCTGTCTTCAAGGACGACTCGAAGCAGAGCCACAGAGAGATGATGTGCGACTGGCTTGCGGCGGCGGACCGGTACGGCCTGGAGAGGATGAGGCTGCTGTGCGAGAGCGCGCTGCACGAGACCATTGACGTGGAGAACGCCGCGTGGACGCTCGAGCTGGCGGACCGGCACCATTGCCCACAGCTCAAGGCTTTCTGCGTGGATTACATCGTGTCTCCTGGTGTCCTGACGGATGTGATGGCAACCGAGGGGTACAAGCAGCTAAAGACGAATTGCCCATCTCTTCTTGTTGATGTCCTGGAGAAATTAACTTGGAAGTAGCGGGTAAAAATTGACGCATTGTTCATTGTAGTACGCTGCAAAGTCCGCAACACTACTTGTTGATGGTGTTTACTAATTTCGTTGCTCTGTGGACACTTGTGTTTGTCACTCACTTACCGTCGTTGATATCTTTATTTATGGGTCATCTTCTTTCTTTTCTTTTGCTTTTTCGAAGAATGGCCTTCTTAAGGCAACTTTGTTTCATCGGACAAGTACTGGAAAACTAATTTTTTTCTCACTTTAGCAACTTGTAAGTTGCCTGAATTTTGAATCTGGGTAAGTTGATTTCTTGGTCGTGGATTTTTGCTTTGAGATTCACGCTCTACATTTTTTACCTGGCTTGTGCTGGGCTTGTTTTCTCTAACTGGCCCCATATCGATTAACTACTGGGTCAAAGCCCATTATCTGTGCGATCCAACCCATCTCTACTGAGACAAGGTAATTTCAGTGTTCGTTCCGCGTATCGGATGGTATTGCGGACGAAACTTAACCGAGAAGCGTGGATACAGGAAGAGGAGGGTTCCTCGTTTGGACAGACTGAGAGCAACAAGTGGAGTACGATCTGGCATATTCAGGTTCCGTCCAAACTGAGGATGTTTGTCAGGCGCCTTGCTAGGCAATCTATGCCTTGTGGAGAGGTTCTGAAGCATCGAAACATGGCAACAGAAGATACATGCATGCTATGTGGGGGGAGAGACACTTGGAAACACGCTTTGCTGAACTGCCCATTGGCGGCCGGTGTTTGGGCGCTCGCCCCAGATGATCTACTGGAGCCATTGATTGAGCGGCACGAGGATAGCGCTAAGGACTGGCTTTCTGCGATACATGAAATATTGCCTGCAGATTTGTTTGAAAGGCTCATAGTGACACTTTGGGCGATCTAGGGAGCTCGACGAAAGGCTATCCATGAAGATATTTTCCAGGCGTCGCACTCCATTAACGGATTCATCAACAACTACTCGAGGGATCTCCGGTTTATGAACTCCATGCATCAGAGACCAAGGGGTGCGGCAACCACGAGGTCTACTCGATGGGTCAGACAACACGAAGGAGCTGCAAAGGTAAATGTTGACGCCGTTGTCTCTCGACGGGGCTATGGTGCTGTTGGCGCTATTTGCAGGGATCAAGAAGGAGTCTTTTTGGGAGCTTCCACTCTCTTCTTCAGACATATCGCTGATCCACAAACCCTCGAGGCACTAGCGATAAGGGAAGCATTGACTCTTCTGGATGACCTCTATCTTTGGAGGATCCATGTAGCATCGGACTGCAAAGGGGTGGCTGAGGACATCAAGAAGGAAAATGCAGCAAGCTATGGAGCAATTATTCATGAAATAATAGATCACTCTTTGTCTTTTGATTTTTGTAAATTTAGTCATGAGTTTAGGAGCTCGAATGTTGAAACTCACAACTTAGCGAAGCATGCTCTTACTCTCAGTGGTGGCCGCCATTAGGACATTCCGGGAACCTCTCGTTCGTCCCTGTAAATGTGGTGACGGTTTAATAAAGAACTTCGCGAGGTTGTGTAAAAAAAACCTTTGTTTTTCTCCTGTGTTTTTGCTTTTGTTTTTTTCTTTATTAATTGGATTTTATTTTCTTTTGTGGGTATTGTTGAGATGTTGGGTGAGTGTAAATGTATGCACATAAATACGGTGCAATACGTGTGAAAATTACACTATTACATGATTATTATTCGCATACTAAAAAGTGCAATTTTAGAGTAAAGTTGTGCGCAATTTTTTAAAAACTTTTTTATAATATTTCTTCTTTAAAGGGTAATACATGCAATAAGCCACATGGATAAAGCATAAGCCATGTATACATACAAAGTATAAAAAAACAGGTCGATAGCACATAGAGGAGGCAGAAATGTCGTAAATCAAAGACATCTACCATTTAACATCTTGGGAGTGTCCCCATTAGGCATACTGTATGAAACATATATTTCATATTCATGTCATTTTTGTTTGTGCAGTGACCTATTTTCATGTAAACACCGACAGTCAAGGTGCATCTAGTAGACAGGACAAAGGCTCCATCAAGCATACAAAATGGAACAAGCTACAGCAAACCATAGGCAAATATGTGATTAACTTACAAGGGACACCCTAGAATATGAAATTTTATTACAGAAGGGCTATTATTTATCATAAGCCCCTTAGAGTTTGAAACTTGACAAAAGGGCCTATTTACTTACCATAAACCACCTAGAGTTTGAAAACTTCACAAAAAGGCGTATTTATTTACCAAAACCCCCATATGGTACGAGAACCTAAAAAAAAGGTTGTATTTATTGACATCAAACCCCTTAGAGTTTGAAAAAAGGGCCCAGTTTCTAATAAGTGCTCGCCACTTTCTTGTTTCACAAGGGAAAGGTGGTTTAGGCGGCCATAATTTTGAATACCACAATAGATTTATATCGAGAAATAAAATGAAAACAAGTAAAACATATCGAATATAAAAAAACCTTTTTGCTTCCGTAAAAAATGGCCACAACAAATAAAGAGACATTTCATTCTCAGCAACCAGAAATGAGTCCAAGCTCCCTCCTCTATGCCTCCATGATCCCTCTATCTATCTATACTTGTACAAGAGAACTATTTTACAAGCAACAAAATTTGTTAGCGAAGACAACAGACAACACATAACGACGACTAGCATGTTGACACACTTGCAATGAACTCGACACATCCAGTTGGACAACCAGGAGAGAAAAGCTTACTCGAAACACATACAAAGTAGTGTACCATACACCCGTGCAATGATGGATCAGCCAAAACAAAAAAACTATGATCCCACCCATGCAATGATGCATCTTACGAAAATTGCACTACTATATGCTTATTCTTACATATTAGTATAAAAATGTGTGATTTATATGTAACTTGTGTGCAAATTTTGTCATTATTTGCTTTATGCTTTTTCTTTCTCTCTTCTTAATTGGTAATACCAATGGCACTAATTCATTCTTAGAAAACTTTGCTATTTTGATTTAGCTTCTATTTCACTTCTTTATTTCTTAATGGTAATATCAATGCCATTAATTCATTCCTTCTTAAAAAACTCCCTTTTCCACGAAAATAACACTATTGTATGCTTATTCTTGCGTATCATCAAAGCCACTAATTCATTCCTTCTTAGTGTTTTTTGCAATTTTTTGACTATTATATGCTTATTCGTGCATATTATTAACAAACTTAATTTTTGTGTAAATTGTGTGCAAATTTTGAAGGAAATATTCCCTGGAGGCAATAATAAAGTTGTTATTTATATTTCCTTATATCATGATAAATGTTTATTATTCAAGCTAGAATTGTATTAACCGAAAACTTAGTACATGTGTGAATACATAGACAAACAGAGTGTCCCTAGTATGGCTCTACTTAACTACTAGCTCGTTAATCAAAGATGGTTAAGTTTCCTAGCCATAGACATGTGTTGTCATTTGATGAACTGGATCACATCATTAGAAAATGATGTGATGGAAAAGACCCATCTGTTAGCTTAGCATAATGATCGTTTAGTTTTTCTGCTATTGCTTTCTTCATGACTTATACATGTTCCTCAGACTATGAGGTCATGCAACTCCTGAATACCGGAGGAACACCTTGTGTGCTATCAAACGTCACAACGTAATTGGGTGATTATAATTAAAGATGCTCTACAGGTGTCTACGATGGTGTTTGTTGAGTTGGCATAGATCAAGATTAGAATTTGTCACTCCGTGTATCAGAGAGGTATCTCTGGGCCCTCTCGGTAATGCACATCACTATGAGCCTTGCAAGCAATGTGTCTAATGAGTTAGACACATGATGATGCATTACAGAACGAGTAAAGAGACTTGTCGGTGACGATATTGAACTAGGTATGATGATACCGACGATCGAATCTCGGGCAAGTAACATACGGATGACAAAGGGAACAATGTATGTTATTGTGCGGTTTGACCGATAAAGATCTTCGTAGAATATGTAGGAGCCAATATGAGCATCCAGGTTCCGCTATTGGTTATTGCTGGAGATGTGTCTCGGTCATGTCTACATAGTTCTCGAACACGTAGGGTCCGCACGCTTAACGTTCGATGACGATTTGTATTATGAGTTTCGTGTTTTGATGAAACGAAGTTTGTTCGGAGTCCCAGATGAGATCATGGACATGACAAGGAGTCTCGAAATGGTTGAGACATAAAGATTCATATATTGGAAGGCTACATTCGGATACCGGAATGGTTCCGGTCGTTCCGGATAAGTTTCGGAGTACCGGGGGTTATCGGAACCCCCCAGGAGGTTAATGGGCCACCATGGGCCTTAGTGGAAAAGAGAGAGGGCCGGCCAAGAGGTGGCGCGCGCCCCCCTTGCCCAGTCCGAATTGGATAAGGGGTGGGGCGGCGCCCCCCTCCTTCCTTCTCTCCTCTTCCTCCTTCGCTTCTTCTCCTACTTGGAATAGTAAAGGGGGGGGACCGAATCCTACTTGGACCGAGAGTCCAAGTAGGACTCCCCCCATGGCGTGCCCCCCTAGGGCCGGCCACCTCTCTTCCCCCTTTATATACGTGGGACGGGGGCACCCCGAAGACACACCAAGTCTTCTCTTAGCCGTGTGCAGTGCCCCCTTACACATTTACACACCTCGGTCATATCGTCGTAGTGCTTAGGCGAAGCCCTGCGCCGGTAGCTTCATCATCACTGTCATCACACTGTCGGACTGAGAAACTCTCCCTCGTCATCAACTGGATCAACAGATCGAGGGACGTCATCGAGCTGAACATGTGCTGAACGCGGAGGTGCCGTACGTTCGGTGCTTCGATCATTTGGATCGCGAAGACGTTCGACTACATCAACCGCGTTACTAAACGCTTCCGCTTTTGGTCTACGAGGGTACATAGACACACTCCCCCCTCTCGTTGCTATGCATCTCCTAGATAGATCTTGCGTGATCGTAGGAATTTTTTATGAAATACTATGTTCAACAATAGTGGCATCCGAACTAGGTCTATGCGTAGATGT